ATATATATATATATATATATATATATATATATATATATATATATATATTATGTAGTCTAGTTTGTCATTTTGTTATGTCTAATGAAATGACGGTTTTTATCTTTTTCTTATTATATATTATGCAAAAAATAAAATTGTGCTACCCTTGGACTTTGAAACTAGCTCCACCATTACGACATTGTATATAGGGCAAGTTTACAATGAAAGGATGGGTCAAGGGTGTTGCGCCCCATTGTGGGGTCAAGGGGAACTGCTCCTAGCGATGATCCCGTTGACCGATCAAAGGGGGGTCGAGGGGCAGCTCACACATTGTCGAGTAGATGAAGCTGGTTATATCCCAAGTTGCATGGAAACCCAAATTGCATGTGGCAACCATATTGTCCAACAACTTCTTATCGATTCTTTCATACAACCCCACCTGCATTACAATTATTTCCAAAAAAATTGTTTTTTAACTGTTGGAAACCATAATTTATCCAATTTTTTTTTATGTATATATGAGTACATATATTAAAAAAGAAACTTTTGGAACGTTAATAATATCTTGAACATTCCATATACTCTAAAGTAACACTGATTTTAATTTCGGATTGAAATTATTCTTGAAACTCAAGCATATGATAGAGATATCAATACATAAAGTGAACTAACAAGATCCTCAAGATATCTTGGATTCTCTGATTCTCGATACATCCTCTTTCGTGATACCTCTTTTCTAACAATAATCACAAAAATGGCCACAATATTATAAAGAATTAATGAAAAATGCCACCTTTTGTGTGATTTTCCAAAAATGACCATATTTGTTAACATACCCATTTTGGATTCTGGGGTTATATAATGTGTACATTTTCCTTCATTTCACTAAATTCACCAAACACTAAGAAAAAAAAATCTCTCTTTCCATTTACCATTAAAATGTTTACTATCATCGAGTTTTAACCAAATGAATCCATTTATGGCCTTGTATCGAAATCTATTTCGGGTTTGGTAAGTTTGTTTAATTTTTTGTTACGTTCCCATTGATAGGTAGCAATTCAAAGTCCCAAATGCACCTTTTTTTTATGCTTTCTATCGAAGAAAATCTTACACACGTTTGTTTGTTTGTTATACTTTGAGGGGTCGACAAATTATAGTGATTGATATCATTTTTGTATGCCTGAAATATGGATTTCGGAAATGTTCTTCGTGTTTCAAATATGTTCTTCATATTTCATAGATGTTTTGATATTTTGGATTTCAACTGCGTGTTTCTATTTCATTTAACTTGAGTTTTATTTCCTTTTGTTGATATATGATAGTAATAGTCGAAATAGGAATAAAAAAAGTCACCACTAACCAGTAACATATCTAAAAAAGTCGTTATATTAATGGTGTGTTTTTCATTCTATATTGTCCCTAAGTCTTAGTGTATCTATTGGGAACATGACTAGGTTTTAGGGTAAAAATTTCTTCCAATGGTTTTATAACCATTTCTTGTTGTTATGGAAGCATAAGCTTCATGGAGTATATCGAAGGCTAATAATGTCTTGTTGAAATGAGGAGTATGAAGTTTCAAGTGTGATGCAATGTTAAATGAATAATATGACACTCTTGACTTTGTGAACGCCAACAATTCAATATGATGAATATACAATTTTATGGGTTATTCAAATCAAGCATTAGATATTGTTGACTTTGTGAATGACTAGTATTCACGTTTGAATTAGTCTGACTCCTAATTGATGCTCTTGACTTTGACGAATTAGCCCATGGAGATGGACATGTAATTCACGTGTATCCCTTCTTTAGGCACTGACTTCATGTTTTAATTATCAGATCTATCTTCGGGATGGAACATAAAAACATATTTGTGTGGGTGTAGGTCTAGCTTGATATATATTAATGAAAGTGGGTTTAATGACTATCACTTCATATTGTGTTTCCAATTTAGAGGGAGCTGGAACAGGATGCACGACCTTTATGCATACAACACGATACACCTATGTCAAGAAAATGATGCAATTAGTCTATGATAATGTGTGAGTCTTAGTGATTTAATGTCGTTATGGTTTAGGGAAAATATTAAACACGATAATTTGTACATCAAGAGCTTACTCCAGTTTGACAAAGATACCTTCTTCGTTTCTAGGGATCCATCACCGATGGTTGATTTACTAAAATCACTCAAGATTTTAAAAATAGTCTTAATAGTTGCATTTTATTTACTTCTCTTTATAACTCACTTTCCATATTTTTAATTTTTTATTCATTTTTAGTTAAATCATTTTGCATATTTTCATTTAGTTAAATCATTTTGCATATTTTCAAAATTTTAGAAGACCGATGTGGTGTTGAATTGTTTGGGATTGATCCAAAGCTTTGTGGAAAAGTTGTGGGCTTGAAAAACATTTTCTTCCAGGCTAGAAGGAAGAGTTGGAAGGAAGAAAAAAGAAGATTAATTGGGCTTATTTTGGAGAACGTTGGGCTCAATTTTTGGATCTAATGGATGTTGACAAAAGAAGACAAAAGGAAAAATGAGATAAAAGCTAAAATGACATGTACACAGAGACTATCGGGTTTCGTGGACACACCTTTTCAACTTTTATCTCATCGTCTTTTTTTCTCTTCTTTATCCTGTGTATTCGGAAAATGAGCCCAAAAGTCCGCCAAAATAAGCTCAAACATCTTTTCTTCCTTCGGACTCTCCCTTCTTGCCAAAAGGATAATGTTTTCCAAGCCTACAATTTTTCCACAAAGCTCCCGAACAATTCTGCACCGCATCGTTCTTCTAAAAATCTGAAAATAAACTCAAATACTTAAAAGAACCTGATATAACGATAAAATAAAAATTATCAAAAATATGCAAGATGATTTAAATAAAAATATGTGAAACAAATTATAAAAAAAAAAGTAAATAAAATGCAACTATCAAATATGGAAACCAATGTATAGGATTTTTAATCTAGTACTCTTACACACAAGCTTATGTGTCGCCTATATGACACCAAATTTTGATAGACAAAAAGGACACCACGCCCTTTAGCCTTACATAATACATGATCTTGAATAGAGTCACACCACAAGCAAAGGAAGATGATAAGGCTTACCGGGAGTGGACGTCAAAACAGGCGCGTTTTACGTTTGGTGCATGCGAACACCACACTAGGGTGGCGTGTTGGGTGTCATTCTAACCACGACTGATCACCACTTCTCTCTCTCTCTCTCTCTCTCTCATGTGTTAAAACCACTCTCGTGATGGTGGTGGAGGAGCGTGGTTGACGTGGCGGTGAGGTGGAAGGTGGTCAGGTCGGAAAACACCACCACCCTCCACTCCTGATAGCCTATTAAAATTAGGTGTGAAATTTTGATCTTTCAATCATACCATTGAACCCCTTAAAATATGTTTGAAATGAGAGAGTTTTCTTGAAACTTTTAATGAGAGTATTCAACCAAAAATGACCAACTGCAACCCATAAACCAAATTGGAAAAGCTGCATACCAACACAACAAATAGAACAAATAGGAGTGGGCGGTTGACGATAACAAAATAACAACAGTTTGCAAGAAACGAAACATATGGACTAAAGGTGTTATAATTGGCAAATGCCTGGGACTAAACACATACTTTACTTTATTTATTATTATCCTTTAATGTGCCAAACTGCCAACAATTCACCATAACTACTCCAAGAAAGCTTAATTAAACTTCAACCATTCAGTATAGTCTTGTTTATAATCAATTCTTTAATGCACTTATCGGATACGCTACAAAAAAAAAAGGAAAAAAAAAGGTAGTGTACACAATAATTTTTCTCCATACACAACAATTTATGTTTTATGGAGTTGTACAATACAACACTTTAATGTACAAATTGTTGTGTATGAAAAAATTTTGTTGTGTACAAATCGGTTCCAAAAAAAAATTATTAACTCAAACTTAGAATTCTGATATCGATTTTGTTTCGCCATAGTTTATAGGGAAGAAAAAGGTTTCATGGGTATTATAAGACGTTTCATTCAAATAATAGTACCTCAGAAGATATTAATATAATCAATAACTATAATTGTACTAGAAACTCACAATACCAATGACATATATGCCATAGTTTATAGGGAAGAAAAAGGTTTCATGGGTATTATAAATTGCGTCCTCTCAGCTGACCATGACCACAATACCCAAAAATACAAAAAAATAAGGACTTGAATTCAAAACTTGGGATATAGCAAAAACCGCATTGTACAGCTCAGCATCTAAATCGAGTTTAACAGTTGTTGTTTCTGCTTTTGTTAGTGTATAAATTAACTCCAACAATATTTGAAAAGTCAAAAGTCAACGGGAGAGTATGAGCTCCTGTAACTTTGAGATGGACCTCTAAATCTTCGAACCAATGACATATATGAACTCTGTAAAAACATTATATAACAGTTAATAACATACAAAAATATAAAATTTTGGATTAAATGTATATTGAAAATCAAATATGTATACCCGAATTCTATGTGGCAAGCTGGCCCAAAATTCCAAGTTTGGAATAATCTGAAAAAAATAAATAGCAAATCAAACGACAATCTCCAACTAAGACATCTGTTTTTTTTTTCTTCCAGAAGGTTCCGGAAACTTACGTCTATACCACGGATGCCGAGATAAAAGTAGCGATAAGCAGCTCCAGCTATAAAATAAGCTCCAAAAAGACACAAAATTCTGGAGAAAAAAAGAATATTCAGAAAAGGGCAATATAGGTATTTGTGGAGAAGTTTAGGGTTTGATGATTACATGATTAAGAGTGTGCCAAACCATCCCAATCCACTGCCAGGGGCAGACAAAACGTTGGCACAGCCAGCTGGATGTGTTATTTGTGTAACCTACAGAAAAAGGGTAATTTAGTCATTTACTTGGAACAGGGACCAAAAGTGTTAAAATCAGGTAAACTCAGGACCAAAAATGTAATTTACTCACAAAGTTACAAACCCCAACTCTCTCAAGTGTCTTAGGTCCCTGAAACAGAATAGAATAATTTTAGTTGTGATTTAGAAAAATAAGAATGAAAAAAAAAAATATTCTCACTTGAACTTGCTTTAAATCACAGATAACAGAAACAGAAAGCGAACAATTCCTTTCTGATCCTTGGTGCCACGTTTTTACAACTATACCCATATCTGGATTCTCTTTATCTGCCATTTTTATAACCCCAAAATAGTTAATATAAACGTCAGAAATTACTTTATTTACAATAAAAAAAAAAAAAATTACCAATGAGATCTGTGGTAATGGTTTGGGTGCGCCCAATAGTACTGCATACAGGATAACCTGCATATGTTTTAGAAGCATCTTTAATAAATTGTTACAAACTCAAAGATGTTAATTATAATAAGATGATGATGAAAAATAAATTAATAATATATTTTATAAAAGTTTCCTCAAGAATATACCTAATTTAATCTCGGACATAAGCGCACTGCACCCCATCCCACATCGAGATGATCCCCCACAATCCTATAAAAATGAAATTCCAATCATCATGACCAAAATTATAGGATTCTAATGATTAAAATATTTTCCTCATAACTAACTCTTTAGATATTATAACAAGAATAAGATGTTTCATTCATATAAAAGTAGAGCTCATTTTGAAAATAATAACATCATTAACAACTGTAACAGAAGAGACTCACCCAGCAATCAAAACATCTTGGAGGATCATGGTTGAAAATCATTCCATCACAAAGCTGCCCCCACATACGAAAGAGGAAAGATAAAATGTCAGCTTAGAGTAGCATGGCTGATGGCAAACATGTAATATAATATGAAAACTGTGTCCACTTAAAAAAATTCACTTTTATGACTTCTCCCTACAACCTTTTAGATCAACTTAAACTTCAATGAAGCAAAAGGAAAACCTAAAACAGCAATACCCACGTGAAATCGCAGATAAGTATGTTTGTGGAATTTGCTGTAAGTTGCAAAAGAAAGGAAAGGGAAAAGGAAAAGGAAAATTCAATGGTGAATAATGAAATAAACTGTAACCTGTTAGAGACAACCTGAAACCAAACCACCGTTCCATTAGATGACACCTTGTAATATCTGATGCAAATTAATTGAAGATATTGTTAGCCGATTGTTCTATGTCATTATTTATGTTTTACATGAAATATTTATACCAAGAAATCAATTTAACTAAGCATTCATCCCTAACTATGCTCTGTTTGCCACTCACAATCCCTCAGTAACCAAAATGTATCTCCTTTTTTTTTAAATGACGACCAAAATAAGAACATATTTTTAGCCGCCTAAGCAATCAAATTAATTAATCACCCAACTCTTGCCACCAAATTTTCCACTATCAGTTAACCATATCCAAACTTGAATCATTCAGACTATACATGTCAGTTAATGAGAGAATGCAAATTTTCAATGCTCTATAACTTAATCCTAAAATCAAGCATATGAATCACATTGAATGACAACTCTACGGAAACATGTGAAGGTGTATGTACGGAGGGAAGAAGTACCCGTCTTCGCTAAGAACGCCATGAGGGAATGTTTCGGAAGGGGAAGCCAAGCTATAACTATAGAACTTGTTCTCCTGGGTAATACTGAATTCACAGATCGTAGACAGCGAATGAACTAAACCGAGTCTGTATAGAATCGATAAATTGAGAAGGTGGAGAAGAAGACTTCGTGATTGCATCTTCCAATGCTTCATTATTCTCGTTTTAGACAGAAATCCACTGCAATTTTGGGAAGATCATGGAAGATTGGAAGTGGAAAGCTTTTAGGGTTCTAAATGGTCTTTATGAGCGTTGTCCGGAGCTATTTCCGTCTGCCTGAATCTACGAGGCCTCATGTCCTGAATCCTGATTTGTCATAATTGCTTAAAATCGAAAAAGGCCCAACTAAGATAGCCCATTAAATAGACCAAAAAATAAATGGGCTTGTTTTCTGTAAATATCATAATTCTATTGGGCCTTTTTTATTAAGATTTAAAATAGGGTTTTTTTCTATTGAGTTTTGTATTAATAAAATGATTGCAGAAATGATGATGTCTATAATTTCTTCTTTAGACTATGAATATGTCTTAATGAGACTAAGTGGTTTTTTATATTTATATTCAATCAAACATTTTTTATAATAAAGTTAATCGAGTTGAAAGAATAAATAAAGTGCAAGTATGTAAAAGTTTAGTGTTTTAATCCGGTTTTTTAGCATAAAACATTTAGCCATTTTATATGGGTTAAGTACAAACACAATCATGTATAGATGTGAATATTAGGTATTTAACTCATGCAAGAAATAACCCTTAACCACAGTAGTAGATAATTGCATTTATATTTTATAAATAATATAATATAATGATTCAATATAATTACATAAAAATAAATATTGATAAAGACAACAAGTATGTTTTATGTTAACGGTTAATTTTTATCTAAAATATAAACGCAATGAGATCATTGTACAAATCATTGGGCAACACGTTAACAAAAAAAATTCGATGAGTGATGAGATTTGAAGTCACTTTTTGAGATATCCGAGGTTGTGTTCCACTACATAATGATACAAATTCACAAAAGTATATTTTTATGGCTAGTTATCATATAGTGAGGTGGTGACACATCACATCCACCTAAATAAAACCATTACAGGATGATAGTTTCTTTGTGACAAATTATGTAGTTACGGGTAGGGATGAGATTTAGAACCCGAAAATTGGACCGGAACCGGAATCGGACCTGAACCAGAACCGTTAGAACCGGAATATATAGAACCGGTTCCGGTTCCGGGATTAAAAATTGGCTTTATTCGGGTTCCGGGTAATCCGGGTTTGGGTCCATCGGGTCCGGGTAAACCGGGTCTAAAAACCGGAACCGGTGTTTGGAACCGTAACCACTTTTAGGGCCGGAACAGGTTTTTGTGAAACGTTTAAAAGATGCATATCCCATTCGTTTCAACTCCGATTGACATGCGGTTTGTTCCAACATGTAGTTTATAGTTTGTACATTATTTTAGACTATAAATTTGCCATTTTTAGTTTTATATTCATTGACTTACAGTCCCCCAAAGTCGAGATATCAAAGCTGGAAGTTTTTAGTTTTTCAATTTTTTTGTATTCGTTGAAAGTTTTAAAACATGCATATCTAATTCGTTTGAAGTCAGATTGACATGTGGTTTTTTCCAACTTATAGTCTACAGTTTATACATGAGTTTAGACTATAATTTTGTCATTTTTGGTTTAATATTCAATGATTTACAGTCCTTCGAAGTCGGGATATCAAAACTGAAAATTTTCAACTTTTCAGCTATTTGTTTTTGTAGTTTGTATTCCGTGAAAATGTTAACACATGCATATCTCATTCCTTTAAAGTCGGATTGACATTCGGTTTTTTCCAGAGTGTATTTTAGAGTTTGTACATGATTTTAGACTATAATTTTGTTAATTTTGGTTTCATATTCAATGAGTTACAGTCCCCAAAAGTTGAGATATCATGAAAAATTTTCAAAATTTTCCATGGAGGTTCACCTGCAGTGACTCCAGGACATGAGGCAAAGTTTCATGTTTGCAGCGGGAGATTAGTCGGTGCGCGAACGCTGGCTCGGAAACCCTCGTTAGGGAAGTTCCCTTTCCAAAAAAAAATTTAACAAAAAATTTCGTTTTTCCGGTTCTAAACTCACTTTATCCGGTTCCAACCTACCCACTTTGATGTTTCCAGGTTTTCCGATTCTAGACCCACTTTATCTGGTACCGTACCCGGAACCGGTCCTATATACCGGTCCGGTTTCTGTTTCTACAAAATCTCGTTAACTGGTTCCGGGTTTCCAGGTCCGGGTCCATCCGGTCCGGGTTTGGACCCACTTTCATCCCTAGTTACGGGTTGAATGGGATATTTTTCAACAATATTCGTAAATTCTTTTTTTTGTGAAATGTCGCAAATTCTTACCGGTAATAATTTAAAAATCGATTTTGTAGTTGAAACAATTTGATGGCCGATTTCCAGTTTGACTGTCAGTGTAACCCGACTTTCATATATATATATATATATATATATATATATATATGTAAGAGTTCATTTGAAACATACATAATTTTGTGAGACCGTGAGACCAAATTTTTTTATTGAAATACTCTAATACTCTATCTTTATATATATTAAAAGAGAAACTTTATGACATCACTTTCAATAATCAGAGTCATTCATTGTGTTTCCTTGATTAATTTCAATCATTAGATCATTTTGATAATGTCATCATAAAATAAAATAAAATTAATATTAACTAAATTCAGTTGACTATGTTTGGAAAGTTGAAAACTTATTAATG